CCTCATGCATCAACCTGGATGGATAAGCTATCATCATCTCCTCATGCATCAACTTGGATGGATAAGTCATCATCATGTTTGACTAAATGGCAAATAGGTTGTAGGATGGGTGGCAATCCTATGCCATGCAAGTTGGCAACTTAAAATTAATATGTGGTTGATATTAATTTTAACCTTATGCATTAACCACTTGTACTTTGAGTTTGGTCAGTTGTACAACATCTTAAAAACTTACCAAAATTAAGTTTTTCAACATATACATGTATTAATTCAACATTAATCTGAGTTTCTGGACAAGAAAGAGGGTAAGCAGTTGAAATTTCATTCTAAAACCCATCTTTTTTGGTCTTTTCATGGCTTATGATCTATCAAATTTGTAGTTTTCTTTATTGGTTTTGAGTGTTTATTCTAAAACTCAAGTTTCTTGGTTCTTTGCTCTTGGTGTAAATCGAACACATTTGTGGAGTCGTTTAAATATGTTGAATTTTAAATATATTGGATTTTAAACTGTGATACAAATTTTTTCATCAATAGTCTGTATTTGGAACCATAACTCTTATTTATTCAGATTGTATTAATATGTAAAGACTAAGTGTAACCTATATCATCATTAAATCTTATCTTATAAAACCAGTGGAACTTCAAAATCGTTAAAATTCATGGCTCCCGCCGCATTGCGCGGGTACACAACTAGTTAAAATAACAAGTAAAATGACCATTATCGTGAAAGTTGATGCTAATGTTTTACAAAGTCATTTTGAAATGAATAAATTATCTAGAGAAGAAAAGATAATAAAACACCATTAAAACAACAATACAACACAAAAAACAAACTCTGATATGATACCACTTGTTAGTCCCAGCCGGATCTACAAGAGTTTATAGGTAGGGGGATGAATACATACACAATAACCTTCATTTTTAAAAATTATATATTGATAACGAAGATCAATACAAATTTTACAAATTGTTTGCGGAAGAGATATTATATAGTACCTATCTAAACAATCCAAGATACACACAAAATTACATATAGCAATAAGAAAACAAGGTAAGAGAAAATGTGTTATTTACTTGTTAAATTGGGTCTTTCTCTTTAGACAGAGAGTAGAGAGATAAATAACTTATTACGTAAGTTCTTTGTGAGGAAGATGATAACTGAGAGGAGAACCACTCAGCTATTTATACTCATTTGATTAAATACAATTCATAAGCTACATGGCACGTGGCAAACTTTAAAAGGAAAATTTGTCCTTTGCTACAGTATACAGTCTTTTTGGTTGTATATGATCAGTCCTCTTTCATAAATTAGGTATACATGTTTAGAGTCAAAGGAGTGGCTCCCTACTGTACTATACTTAGAAATGTACAGGGTTGTCCTTTGTGTGTAAAGGACAAGACAAAAATAATTTTGCTTGACAAGATTCATTTGATCACTGAATACTAGAATGACGTTGAAAGGTCTCATTAGTGCTCGTTGAATCTTGCACAGACTTCACATATTTGTAGACGAGCTTGTTATCACTAAACACCGCTTCAGATCACGAACTTACTAGTCTCTAATCTTCAGTTTCTGTATTCGACATCACTGAAGGATATGTGATGTGAGTTTTGTCTTCTTGAAGTATATTGGTCTTTAAATGAATTATAATACATGTTCAACGATCACTGAACAGACTCAATGAAGATCGTTGAAACTGAATAACAAAAATAATACACTTCGATAGATAAAAGGATCATCATCAAATCAATGAGAGAGATGATTAACAATATATATATATATATATATGTTAAAATTTCACTAATCTATACTATCTTATAAAGCAAATTTAACAAAAGTCTTAAAGTCTTAAAATACTAAATAACCAAGATACCCTTTATACCACTTTTTCACTTTTCACCCCCTCTTCTCCTCACATACACTCACCCTCTTACAACGGATTTTTTTAAAATTATAATTTTACATTTACACTTTATACCCTTATAATTAGTTAATTAATTTACTTTACGTTCTTTACTTTTAAATGTTTCATTTTAAACATTTATCAAATTAATATACATAATCGTATATCAATTAAAACATGTTTAACAAATACATTTTTATTTTAACAAGTTACACCATTATAATCATCTCATTAATACCTTCGAAATGAGTCTAATATTGAATAATTTTTGACTTAATTATATTATTATATATTATATATATTGTGAAAAAATATTTTTAATATTTACGATTTATACTTTTATAGTTATTTATTTATATATATACTATATATTTTGGGGTTAGCTGTCCAAATTGCACTGTATAATATGTTCATTGTTTTTTTTGAAATACATATATATACATATATTAATTCAACCTTAATATGAGTTTCTGGACAAGAAAGAGGGTAAGCAGTTGAAATTTCATTCTAAAACCCATATTTTTTGGTCTTTTCATGGCTTATGATCTGTCAAATTTGTAGTTTTCTTTATTGATTTTGAGTGTTTATCTTAAAACTCAAGTTTCGGGTTCTTTGCTCTTGGTGTAAATCGAACACATTTGTGGAGTCGTTTAAATATGTTGGATTTTAAATATATTAGATTTTAAACTGTCATACAGTTTTTTTTCATCGATAGTCTGTAATTGGAACAATAACTCTTATTTATTCAAATTGTACTAATATGTAAAGACCAAGTGTAACATATATCATCGTTAAATCTTATCTTATAAAACCAGTGAAACTTCAAAATCGTTAAAATTCATGGCTCCCGCTGCATTGCACGGGTACACAACTAGTCAGATTTTATTAATTTTTTCGAATTATTTGAATACCATTTGTTGATAATTATATTAACAACTAACATATATGTATATAGACAATCTTCATATCATTAACCAAAGTACTCATGCCACCATGCATCGTGCGGTTCCCACACTAGTAATATTTAAAGAATGAATAAAATGTAAACAAAAGATCTATTTGATTAAAAAAATAAGTTTTTATTTAAGGTTATATTCATAAAATATAAGTATGTTCCACCTTGTTCCATGGGGTAGGGCTGAAAACGAGTCTGTTCTAATTTGTTCCACGCTGTTACTGTCTGTTCCATATAAAAATCATGTCAAACATAAAACATGGATATCTCTTATATTCTGTTATGTCCAATGTACAAAACGCACTGGTCAATGACTCATTGATTTTATCTCAACTAATTTTATGATAAAAAATAAAATAGTGACGACTTTAAGCGTAACATTGAATAGAAATAAACTCAATGGTTTAGTAAAAAAATGTCAGATGATTTATATTTACACCGTTTAATTTGACCAATTAAAGGAAAAAAAAGTTAAAAACGATAAAAATGTGAAAAATATTCCACACGAAGAGATAAGGGTGTAAATGATGTGAGTCAAGCTCGAGTATCACTATACTCGATTCGAACTTAAAACCCAATTTCCAAGCTCGAACTCTACTCGAAAACTCGCAAATAGTAAAAATCAAAGCTTGACTCGAACTCAATAACTATTTCTCAAGCTCGAACTCGAATTAAACTCGAATCGAGCTCGAACTGTAACTCGAATCAAGTATGAACTCGAACTCGAATCAAGTTTGAACCAAGCTCACCCATTGAAATTTTTAAAATTTTAGTGTCTTTCTCTTATAAATTTTAAAACTTAAAGTGTTCTCTTAGTTTATATAAAACTAAAGAGATCAACTTCAAACTTAATAAAAAAAAAGCAAAGTTAGAAATTCAATTCACCTACCTCTCTTTTTATCATATCTTTTCTCACTTCCTTTAACATCCCACTTTCAATGTGGAACAATTTCACTGACCATTTTTATAATTTTTCTTTGTCTTTTTTTAATTATGATTTTAATAAAAAGTAGTTGATTAATTTTTATAATTAAAAAATGCATGATTTTGTTTAAATATCTAAAATTATAAGACATTTTTTATTATTTATATTTTACAAATTTTATCATAAAAACTGATTATACTTTAAAACTAATTATATATAAAATAATCAAGTAACTCACAAGTTTTTTTAGTCGAGTATTGGGTAGTTTGACTCGACTCGTTAATATGTCGAGTCGAGCCTATTCGAGTCTAGTGTTGTCCGAGTTTTAATCGAATCGATGTAGCCCGCGAGCTTTTTCAGTATCGTTTACACCAGACAAAAAAAAAACCAATAGCTATTAGGGCACTGGGCCACTGACGCCTTTGGGCCCGTACAGTTCGATAGATGATGACTTTACAATATCTGTAGATTAGTGGAAACAAAATCTTGTCCCCAAAGGATTGGACACAGAACAACAGAAGCTTGACGATGATGACGTCCATGAAGATAACGATGAACATTCCTCCAACCTTTTTCCAATTTAAGCACTGCAATGTAACTTTCTGCATACTTTCTTATTCCATTCATGTAGATTCTATACACTATACATTGCATTGCAGTGAATCCATGGCTCTTTTGATTGTATGGAGTTACATGGCTTTCAGAAAACATGTTAATCTTTGCTGTTTGAACTCAAAATTAATCGGCAATGGATAGAATAACCTAGGATAATACACACCTTCTACATACTGCATGTTTAATACCATGTTAACATTGGGGTTTGGGGATCCAAATCAAGGCAAATTGGTAAAATATTGTACTAACCTAGTTACCCAGACAATATGCATTAAAGACCTAAATGGAAATTTGAAAGCAATTACTTAGATACTAGATTAGTGGTTTTGTTTTCTATTTTCATTCTTAGTAATTTGGATTTTAGGTGTTGCTACTGATTCTATTCTCCCCATGCCAAACTATAGTGATGACTTAAAGAAGGAATGTTTTGGCTGTTGAATCTACTTCCGGTGGGAAAATTAGAGAGGAGCACCTAGCACCAATTAGCTCTTTCAATAGTGTAGACAGAATGAGGTGTTTGTTACTTTGGTTTGCTCTAGTACGTATAGACGTTGGGAGGTAGTGCAAGGCTTAAGATGCTCAACCATTTCAGGGTCTTGTACCTGATGACTTTTAAACGGTTTAAGTATTCAGGTTCCGATCCCTATTCAGGCAAGAGGGGTATCTTCAGGGAAAGCTCTCTTAGTGTGAATCAAATGCAGGTGGTCCTATGCCATAGGGTATAGGTGATATTTTAAATTTTTATCGGATATGGATGTGTAGTTTTGTATAGCAGTGCAAGGATGATGTCGGATAGTCTTCATGGACCTTGGTGGTGGAATTAATGAAAAAAGTTAGTTTCAATACCACCTCAAAACTGTTGCTCCATGCCTCCATCAATTGTTTTATTAGGAAATGCCCTACATATTTGTCAAATTGATTAGATTGTTTCGATCCCACCCTCTTATCGTAGATAAAAGGGCTTTTTTGTGTCTACGTCATGGTGCCATTGGTTAATTATGGAATCATGAGGAAGTTAAAATATATTTAAAGATGAGTAATTGCTTGTTGTTTCTTTGTGGGAATGCAATGACTAGTGTTTAGTGTCTTAATGGTGGAACAACAGATTTTTTTTCTTTATTCCACCTTGATGTTGAAAAAGAAGGGAGTTTTATATTGGTGCCCGTGGTCATTTTAAAAAAAAATAACTTATACGTATAAATTGATGCTGCCATTACCAAGTTATGTTTTGCTTATTGTTACAGATGATCTCCATATCCATTGCTTATTCTTCTCTTTGAAACTCCTTCCTACTCCCTCTGTGCCAATTAGGAAAAAAGAGAGGTGTAGGTTTATTATTAAGGTCAAGCAAACTACTTTTCAACCTCAAATTTGATATTTAGTCTTTAAATGTTAGAAAATTTCATCAACTGAATTCCCATGCAAGTATTAGTAATTGATATATCATATTACATTTTGTGATAAAATGCATATCAATTATCAATTTAAATAATATGGTTGGCCTTCAATGACAAACTCATCCTCTTGTCTTTAAGAACAAAGGGAGAATATATAAATTTCAGATATTGGTGTTCATGTACATTAACCATTTAACTGTTATACTGTTTCCAATTCTACAGAATCTTAATCCTACTGCTAAAAGCAACCACGTGCATGTTCCGATTTGGCATACCTTAGCAACTATCAATCCTTTCTGTACAAAACGAAGTCTAGATGGGAGGTAACTTGCTATTATTTTGTAAACACATAATAGTTCTTTGCCCTGAAAACCAAGTTATTTAGTAGTCATACCATAGCCTATGCTAGAATATGTATTCCATGTTTCATCTTTTCTACCTTTGCTTTATACAGACCATTGGACTCCCACAACTCTCATAAGAGTATCGTCTCCTTTGTTAGACCACTACCTGCCGTTGAACCAGGTGACTCTGACCTTCGCCCAAACGTTCCTATACATTAAAAGTTCTCTCCCCATTTAATCAAATCACAGTTCAGAAGTTATTTATAATACATTGCAGGTGTAGAAGCTTCAATATCAGATGAGAATTTGGTAACAGTAAAAAATGCCAATATACTTGTGGAGTTGCAAGATGATGATAAGATGCAAGTGAGCCCGGAAGCATGAATTATACTGCGATTTCATTCTGACTCATTCTGGAATTTTATATGTTGGGCCACCTCAGTTATAAGAAAATATATACTTCTTTTTACTTTTTTTTTAAATCTATGACTTTTTATTACCATTGTAAATAAAACACTTTCTTTTGTATTTGTTGTAACATTTGAGCAAATTTTATAGAAACCATAAGGAATACATATTAGTTGAAAGGTAGTTCCTAAGATATGCAGCCAGTCTCCCCAACAAACGGGATGGCAATCCTTCCTAAGTAATGCATAACTGAGATAGGATTAGGTCGGTGTCTATTACGGAACCTGTGGCTTCCTGTTGACCTCAAAACCAAGGTTACCTCATTTATCGCTGGTTATGATTTTGTTTTCTCTTGCTATCTGGCATAAGGATTAAGTAGAATTTGTATACCATGTGTGAATTTTTCAATTATGTGTGTGCATATAACAAAATACAAAACAAGAAGCCTCATATCCTAAGCAAATTGGGGTAGGCTAAAAGTGAAACAAAATTATAAAACGAGTAACCAAAAAGCAAACTCAAAGAATTGAACCCCCTAGGTTGCTGCCACATGAGTAGTGTCTGCCAGTCACTGCCATCTAAGGACCTTGGTACTCCACTTACCCAAATCGCTTTCCACAGCTTCCTCATGTCGATCTTGACTGACCTTTACCTCTTCTTGCTATAGATGTCCTATTCTTACCATTGTATTGGGAGGTCTACATTATAGATGGCTAAACCACCTCAGAAGATGTTTCCAGCTTCTCCTCGATCAGAGAAACCCAGCCTTCTCCTGTATATCCTCACTTCTACCATATCCCTTGCTGTGTGACTAAACATCCACCTTTAACATCAACGTTTCTGCAATTGTCTTCTGTACACATCTTTCCTCTTTTGGTGGCCTAATACTATGCTTCTTAAACATAGATGATTGTATACTGTCCTCTAGAACTTGCCTTTTAGCTTTAGTAAGACTTTTAAATCACACAAGGCTCCAGAGCTTGTCGTCATTACGACCATTAATCTATCTATATCTATATAAAGCTGATCTGTGTGACATAGATGATTGCCTAATACTATGCTTCTTAAACATAGATGATTGTATACTGTCCTAGCATCACCACCAATCTATCTATCTCTATATAGAACTGATCTGAAATAACAGAAGACATCCTCCCTAATGCATACTGTGTATTCTGCTTCCCTATGCCTAAAGAAACACTTAACATACTTCATTTCATTATGGAAGGCAAATTACATACACACTATATATCACCTTGTATGCTTCCCGTAAACTCATGAAAGCAAAATGGTGAGGACTTCAATCCTTAGTGTAACCCAAATCTAATACACTTATCTTCTTATTCGTGAATATGGTATGTGTGTGCATGCCAGACTGAGACTATGTGGCTATGGTGTCATTTATGATGAAAGCCGCCCAACACGAGTATGCTTTGTGCTGTGTTCAGCAATGAGAATTTTGGAGTACTATCAGAAGTAGAAGTGTCAGAATATGATGTACCATGTGCTGGAACGTTGGAGGCTCACAACAGCCAGGAAAAAAAGTGTGCTTTTTCCAAGAAATAGTGTGTGCGTATCCATAGTAGGAACACATGGGATATACAATAAGTCAACTGATTGAAATATAAAACCCTAAGAAAAGCTTTTAATAATTATACGGAAGACAATACTTCTAAAAGCACTATATATCTAGAGAAAAGTAATTTGAGGTGTTCCTGACTTCCTGCACCATCAAGACTACTACTGAAGGATAGCAAGCGATAGGAATATAGCTCCTTCTCAAGAACAAACACAAAATGATCTCATGATTACATTCTTAACAACAACAACAACAAATCAAGACTGCTCTCTGCCTCTGTTAGAATTAGTTATTATTTTCTGTATGTTAGTTCTAATTAGTTAGACAATTTAGTTTCTTGTATAAATAGTCCTTTTCCCTTTTACTTTTGGAATACACAAAAATATACAGCTTCTTCTACTTTTTCCTTTTCTCTCAATTTCTCTCTACTCTCTGCTCTCGTCTCACATGGTATCAGAGCTCCACAATCAAATCTGACCTTCTCATTTTTCGTTCTTCAATTTCAATTCCTTCCTGTTCAATTTTGTTTTCGCTTCTTTCTTCTTCGTCAGTCTCAATATGACTGATAAACAAACAGAAACAGCGAATAAGAACATGAATGCCTCTGCTTATTCGAATCCTTTGTTTCTAAGTCAAAGCGATAATCCTGGAACGATGCTGGTCACGAAGATCTTCGATGGAAAGAGTTTTGGAGCCTGGAAGCGTGCGATGTCTTTGGCACTTTCTGTGAAGAACAAATTAGGTTTTGTAAATGGGAGGACAAAGAAACCTGCAGAAGATGATCCAACTTATGATGATTGGGAGAGATGCAATTCCATTGTTATTACATGGATTCTTAATGCGATGACTAAAGAAATCTCTGAAGGACTGATATATTACACAACAAGTGCGATTTGGAAACAGTTGCACCATATGTTCGAACAATCGAATCTGGTTGTAGTTTTTCAATTGCAGAAAGAATTGAATCAAATAGCTTAAGGAGCTGATTCGATCACCACATATTACTCCAGATTCAAACGAATTTGGGATGAATTTGCAGCAATTGATGATTTACCTGATTGCACCTGTACTGCAGGAGAGGCTTGGAAAAACGCATGGAAAGGCAGCAATTAGTGCAATTTCTTTTTGGTTTAAATGATAGCTACATGCAAGTTAGAGGTAATATTCTTCATGAAAAACCTACTCCTAATATTGCTGATGCTTATGCGACATTGATTCAAGAAGAACAGCAAAGAAAGTTACTGCCCTGTGAAGTTGAACGCTGAAGGAATGGCAATGCTGGCTAATAAAAATAATTCTGCACGAGCAAAGGTATTCATGAATGCTGAAATGAAAAGAAATCTTGTTTGCAATTACTGTAAGAAGAAAGGTCACATTAAGGCAGAATGTTACAGATTGATCGGTTTTCCAGAAAGTTTCAAGTTCAATAATCCAAGGAGATCTTCTTCCTTTGTTAATGTTGTTGAAGGAAATGCTGAAATTTCCAATCATGATTACTAACAGATCATGAACTTTATCAATAATTGCAAAATTAAAGAGACTGCAATCTCAAATTCTGGACAGAATTCCTCCAGCAGTTCATCTGATTCTAGCAGTTCATCCGATTCTATCATAGAGAAAGAAGGAAGTGGATTTGCTGCATGTGCAGGTAAATGTTTGACTACTCCTATTTCTAGTTTTTGGATTATTGATTCTGGCGCGTCTGATCATATGTGCAGTCATAAGTTTTTGTTTTCCACTCTCACAAAACTTCCTAAATCTCACAAAATTTCTTTACCTAATGGTAATACGTTGTTTGTTGAGTCAATTGGAAACAATACTCTATCCAATTCGTTAATTCTGAGTAATGTGCTATATGTTCCATCATTTCATTATAATCTTCTTTCTGTATCCAAGTTGTGTTCYACATATAAATCTCCCGTTTATTTTTCTGATACATATTGTTATATGCAGGACCCTCTCACCAAGAAGCCCTTGGTACTTGGTAAAAGGGTTGGAAATCTCTACTTG